TACAGAAATAAGCTGCAATGTCCTTCCACAGCCGTGGTGTGTCACATTGGGCTGCATCCCCCAATTTATCCCCTCTCTGGTTCAGCGGAGATTCCTATTGATTTCCTCTCACTGAGCCAGTGTACAGAGTAAATAGGAAGTGTGTGGCCTATTGTTTGTGTCACCTGATAAAACAGAAAGCTAGACCCCCATGTCTTTATTCCTGGGGCCCCGTCAGGAGCCACAGGCCCCTTCAACCAAAAAACTACAGCTGTAAATTTGATGTAAGTGCCTCATATACAGTAATGGCACCTTTGAAAATGATGTGCCTTTAAATCATTGGCATGGTATTAAATCCTGGGAACTTCCGGACATGATTAACGAGATTACACTTAGTGTGGGAAGACAACCGTAAATGCAGGCTGCATTTTCATACATGCTTGATGCGTGTCACCCTGTGGGTTACTGCCCAAACCAACGGAGGGAGAGTTGCTCTCCCAGGAGAAGGATATATGCAATCTCTCAGCGCCTGGGCAAGTGAGACAAATCCATTTAGGCTGGAAATAGCATTATAGCACCGACTGTACTTCTACATCTCTAACAGGTTAGACCAAGAATAGTCTGTAAGTAACACGTTCCAGGTAGAAATGCTGCCAAAGCCGCAGAGCGCACATGACTACATGTGCGTTTCATGTGAAGATATGTTCCATTGTAGGCTTTTTACATGCCTAATTCCTCCATGCACAGCTTTTGTTATGAATAAACCATTCAGCTTTTTCTATCCCTGGAAGTTTATAGGTGTTGTGATGCTATTATTGTAACTGCCACAATGCTACAGGCTTCAAATAAAAGCCAGAGACAATATTCCTCCTACAATTGAGCTTATGGCCCTACAGCTGCATCCATTTCTGCAGTGTCCCTGGAATTTCTGTGCATTATCAAGGGGAAGGATGAACTAATCTTGAAACAGGACCAAAACACTGGCTTTCCTAATCCCTCATTTTTTTATCATGGGTGGTGAGGAGCATTTTACCCCTGTGGGAGGGAAAGAAAGAGGGAGCCATTTCATGCTTCACTGGTTCAACTGTTTTTATGAAGATTTTTTTTCTTACCCTCTACTACCCCCACTCCAGTCCATAGTGTAACTGAATTTATAAAGCCTGTTTGCAATAGTCCGACACCTTTTAGAAGTACGAAGGTACTTTTCCTAATTAGGGATGTGTAGATGGCTGCCTTCTCCCTCTGTAGTGGTAGTAATTTAACTTTAAGACAGATAAGACTGTGTATCTCAGAAAAAAGAGGAGCAATTTCCTTAGCTGTCTCTCATTTTATTCATTTGACAATTGGCAAACACCTATGGCACCTAGGGTGTAATTAGATTTCCAGCGTTTTTGCACCAATTTGGATTATTGCACACATCTGTAGGATAAAAGTCATGTAATAATGTTTCCTTCTATTTTTTCAGACAAATTATTGGATAATTTATTTACTTGTTTAACAAATTTCTGAGAAATGTTCATGTACTGATGTTTTATTCGGGCAGATCTTTGAACAGTTGACACAGGTGTTATATCTCAACATATGGTGTGTTGATGTGATATTCAACAAAAAAACATGCAGCTTGGTGGAGTGTGCAGTTATTGCAGCGAGGTGCAGCACTAATACCTATTGTAAAATGTGATAACTGAATCCCATGTAAGTTTGATGAGTTTATTGGATTAAAGCAGAAAAAATTCCAGGTCTATCAGCAGCTGACGTCAAGTTATAATGTTCCCTTTTTTTTGCTGAAAGACACTAGAAACGCAACGGAACAAAAAGGGCTCATTGATCCGCTGTGATCCAGACACTGCAGCAGGCATGGGTTGTAACAAGCGGTAGGAAATTTACAAGGTAAGCTCTGGCAACATAACAGCATAGGTCATCATAAGAGTATGAATTACTAGAACACCTCTGTCTCAGAGGAGCACTTGAGGCTCTTTCACTGTGAAATAATTGGGTTGCAACAGTGAAACTCCTACTCCAGTTAGAGAGTAAAGGTGGCTTTTGCTTTGTTTTGCTGTTACAGGACCACAGACACAGTGGTGACTATTAATCAGCGTTGGACACATGTAGCTGACGGCATAAAGAGGGAGACAAGTTCAAACACTGCACCATGTGGCTCTGAAAAAAACATCTTGGTGAAGTCCTGTTTATGAAAAGCCCTCCGTGTTTTGCGGTGGTTACACTGATCTGAAATGTTTTCCCTCTCTTTTTTTTAATAAAATATGTATTCCCTGAGTTTGTTTTGAACTCCTTGTAGGTTAGATGTATCTTTAGTCATCATTGTGCTCCACATTCGTCAGCTGGTCAGCTGGGGGTTGTCTCGGTGCTTGTAGAGCCAGCAAAAGCCGATATGCCAACAGAATACAGATGTCTGATTTGTGGGTTACACACTGTAAGTACTGTGTGCTTTGCAGGGACTGTGTTTCTGTCACATCTGGCACTGCATTTTTTATTTTCATGTTTTAATTCATGTCTGGAACCTCTGAGTTGTAGTGTCACAGCCAAAACTTGCACTTGGCTCTTGGTACTACAAGCCTTTATTAATTTTTTTTGCACTCGCTCGCAGTGGACAGACTTAGGTGCCTGTGGCAGGACCTGCCCCGTCTGCGACAAGGGACATCTCCCTTTGTTGTCAGAACACCTCTAAACATCTTTCACTGAAACAATTACCATACCATCTGTAGTCTCCTGCTAGCGTGTTGCTCACTGTCAGCATCTTTTCTCGCCGTGTTTTTCCCCCTCTCCCCCTGACACACGCTCCCTCACACTGAGACAGATGAGGAGCCGGGTCACTGTGAACTAAAAGGGATACGTTTAATTAGTTAATAGTCACTTTATATTCAGTTTTTTTCCTGATACCTTGTAATGGAGCCGTCAATGGTGGATTGAACTGACACTAATCTATTTTCTGATTTGCCTTGAGCGTTTGAGACTTGGTATATTGATTAAGGTCCCTGCATACATTTCCTGCAAACCTCATAGAGCTGCTTCAATAAAGAACCTTGTTGCTGCTTCATACAGTGTTGTTGCTGTGGAGGTAACAGCTGATTGCTATGGTGTTAAAGGAATAGTGATATTAAATGAGCATTTTTAAAATAGATGTACCAACAATTACATGAACAGTGCAAAACGTTTAATTGGACAAAACTCTTTACCGAGGCAAAGTGTTTTCTTTATTTGTTGATGTTTGGGGCTCAGAGACACAAGCGTTTTTTAAAGATGAATGTCCGTAAGTTTGTGGACTGGACTTTCTCCGAATTTTCCTTTCACACATGAACAACTCAGCAGGAGATTCTCCGCTCAGAGTTCAGACGAGGGGTGGAGCAGCAGACAGAGGCAGGACGTAAAGAATCAATTCTGTATTGAAATCACTTGTCTTTTTATCTGCACATCGACATAAAGGTCTCTTGACATCTTTGTCAGTGTCTCCTATGTGTGACTCCACTATTCCATCCTCAATTAATTGTTTTATTTTATTTTTTTCACTTTTGCTTCTGTCACATTAAAACGTCATCAACATGCCCTCTCGCTGGCGGTGAATCCTCAGGGGAACTCCTGCTTTGTTCCATGCTCCATGGCTCATTTGGTCATTATCTGGAGTTTTTACTGGGGGGCTGGCAGGAGAAACTCGTGAAAGTCCTAAGGCTCTCACTCGGACACGTGTCCTCTCATACAGCTCCTCAGGAGATTATCCGGAGGTCAGTGCAGTTCTGAAAGCAGCTATATTGTGCATTTTTTATTGCCTGGTAACCTTTAACAGTGTTTTTTAGGTGCCACACCACACCTGTTACTGTGCACGTTCACATTCTTTACCTATCAAAGACCAGCAATGGTGGAGCTCTTAATTTGGCCATTAGTAGACACCGTTTGGTTCCTGCTGTGTTATAATAAGCGTGTGACACATCCATCAGTGTCGTGTTGATTTGCACACAAGCTAACATAACCAGCAGAGGCTAGCATTCAGGAGGCTAGATGACTAATCAGCACTGACATGACTGGTTTGCTCAGTTAGGCCAGACGCCCGTTATAACTTATATCATGAAGTCATGTCACATTTGCCACACGTAATTGACACTTTGATGCCTGAACTGTGCACACACACACAATCGGGAGACAAATTAAGAGCACGGGCGGGCACATTACCAGCTACACATGCTGGGTTTAATATCACGTTGTTTGGCTCAAGAAGACTGAAACGTTAAATTGGTTTCTTTTTCGTTTCGGTTCAGCACTGCACAAAGTTATTAGGGGGAGAGGGCTTGTGTATTTTATTATTTTGCAAAAGGGGAGAGTAGTAGGATTTTATTTTCATAAGGGAAGGAGAGCGGCATTGAAAAGATTATGTTTTATTTCAGCCTTTTTATTTCACACAGCTTCCACCTGTGCCAAGCTCATTTACTCACTGACGATGGTAATAAATAATCAGGAGGTCTCGTTTCAAAAATAGAAAGGCTGCAATGTTTGGGATGGGCTATTTGCAATAATTTATCATGGAAAATCGTTGGATATTGTGAAATGTACTGTATTATTCAATTTACACATTAAGTTTAAAATAGTACACAGATTACAATTCTTTTGCACATTCATATTTTATGATTGAGCAAGCTGTACCAATTTAGCCCTCTTATTATTTTGAATATTATGGGGGAGGGTGTTTAAGATTTTCCATATCAAAGCAAGAGTCTGATGTATGATAGTGCATTGCCTTGTCTTTTTTTAAAAGTCAACCACAAGCTTTAGCTGCATGCTCTCCCCAACTTTATGATTTTCATACAGCCCCTTGCTTTCAAAATTAAAAGACTACACATGAAACTCCCTGTACATTGCTGTTATTTAGAGCAGTATGGTACAGATGAGACTGGACTTTTGAACAAATCAAAAGCACACAGAGCGGAATAGTCTCATCTAAGTCCCCAGCGAAGTATAGATCACTTCCTATGGCGTCACAGTTAATAACTTTGTCTCTCTCTGCTCCACAGGTACCCCAGTTACCCAGGTAACAGCCACAGATGCCGACGATCCAGTGTATGGAAACAGCGCTAAACTGGTCTACAGTATATTGGAGGGACAACCATATTTCTCCGTAGACCCTAATTCTGGTAAGCACAGTAGTTTGGTGTTTTACAGTTTTGCACACAACAATAGAGAGGACCAATATAATCCTGTATGACTTCAAATAAAGGAGACACAAAAGGACGACACCGCTGTGGGGCAGACTATCCAACAGAGCTCTTTGTGCTGTTATTCATTGTTTGCCTGACAAAGCCTGAAGAAGATCTCTGCGAGATCGAAACTTTACTTCATTAAATTTAATGGGAGCTATTAATACAGTGTGCAAATCCTTTGTCTGTTTCTAACCAATGGAGAACATAATGTATTACAAAATGTAATCAATGGACGCCACGCCCATAATGGGAAGAAAAGGGAAGAAATTGGCTTTACAGTGAGACAGTGATTACATCTAAGGATTATTTCAAGTCTTTTTCTTCCAGACAGGGGCCAGGCACATTAGGCCAGAACCTTTTAGTATTTAAACATTGTCCTTTTTCATTACCTGCCTCGACTGAGATAAATGAGCTTACAAGGTCACTTCAGGTCAAGTAGTGGGCTATCAGGGTTTGACCAAGACTCGAGGTAAGTACATCCAAATGACAGTCACGAATAACATTACCTTAGAGGTGTCTGACTTATTATACGTTGATGCAAATTTGTGACCTCAGCTTTGAAGCCTATTTTAAGCTTTCAGGACCTCCAACACACAACTGGATGCAGTGGGAAATGATTACAACTCCACATTTGAAATGAAACATTGAATGAATAAATAAGCATTACATCCCAATTCATCACTTGGTTAATTAGAGCAAACCCTGCAATATGAGCCGACATATTGCCACCACAGTGTGTGATTTCAGATAGCATGGCGGCGTTCCAGACTCAGAGGCATGTCAGCCATGTCGGCTCTGCCTTTTCAACAAGACGTGTGTGACTATGGCAGCAAAAAAGAAACAATGCACCTAATACGTGTGTGTACCTTTAACACAGAACACTGAAGCGTAATAAAGCAGTCACACAACAGGTTGTGGTAAAGGGGCCGGAGGCGGGCTTTGTATGCTTGTCATCCACCCATCCACTTCCTGGTGACTCTGTTGCTGATAATCAATGCGAGCCACAATTCATTCAAAAATGATGTTGCCTGTGAACATAATCCAGACATCGATTATGTTGCCACCACGCTGTAACTGGTGAGGTAATTTACAACTATATAAACATAATTTCAAAGACGGGAGGTTTGAGGAAATTAGTTTTGCTTTTTGGTTTAGAAGTCTGGGGCTACTTTGTAAACTGTGACATCTAAACACAAGCTGAAACATCAACAAGACATCTATATCCTGATTACATGAATATACATGAACACTCAGGCTGTAGAGTCCTCCTGCTTACAGTATCCTTTTAAAACAAATTCTTTACAATTCATTAAAATATCATTAATATGCTAGTTCAGTTTGTATGAATTTCTAATGGCGTCTGAGTTTTGGCAGCTGCCGAAGCTCTCTTTGCTGCAAGTGCTTTGGATTTCAATGAAAGACAGAGGCTGAGGTGACATCAGCGAGCGAGAGGGTGGCTCTTTAATGTGCATGTTAGCTGCCTGCAGGTGCTACAAGTTGCAGAGATTCCAGCAGGTAGAAATGCAACAGCTTCCCCCACCTGCTGGCCCACCTGAGGTAATCTCACTCTGCTGTGGTGCATTAAGTTTTCAAAATGCGTATAAATTCCGAAAGGAAAAAAAGAGGGGTTTGTAGTAAAAAGAAAAAAAAAGCAGCTATCAGAAGACCACATGGCAACTATGTTAATGAGTGTAGTTAAGTGTTATGTATATGCCGACGTGATTATGTAACCTCCCCACTGTTTGAGCGAGCCTGTGGGGGGACATCTTTACAATATGCACGCTAAAAGGGATCTGACAGTGTTGGTTATGGCTTGAAAAGTTGTGTAACAACAACAACAGGACTTCAGGTAACTTAGCCCATCTGTTTTTTGAAATGCTTTTAGATTATCTCTGCATGATGCTGCTGGTAAGTCAGGCTCCCAGGCTCACCCCCCCCTCTACTCTGTTCCTCTACAGCTGCACACTTACTCCGTGTTTCGAAATATAAACATTACACACACACACACACACACACACACAAAAAGGTGTTACTTGGGGCACTATAGTTAAAACTCAAAGTGTATAGCTTTAAGAGAAATGTGAAATAATGCAACAATGTGGTAAGAAAACAAAAATATTGAATAAGAAAAATAAAAGCACCCACACAGTTGATATGCAGAGTGAAACAGAGTCTGTGGATGTGTTAGTGTCTGGCAGTCATTGTAATAAGGCCCCACAGAGATCTTTAGCAGGTGTAATCAGAAAAAGTTAAGGACACCACGAATGAATATTACTCACAGGTTATTGAAATCTATATAATGAAACCACCTTGGCCCTTATAATGATCTAGTGCAGATTAGCCTTTCACGACTGAAAGTATAGTCTACACATGCACATGTACGTGGGCTGAGAAAAAAAAAAAAGTATGCTTCTAGCACTGGAGACAAATACAATGGCTCCTCGATTATGTTTGTCCTGGTTTAACTAGATCATCTGATCATCTGTCAGTGAATTCATTATTAAAACTAGAAAATTATAGGACTCATATGAGCTTTGCTTCACTGTGTGTTTTCATCAGCTGACTGGTCGTCCTGAATGCATTAATGGGACCAGTACTCACATGCTGCTGCATAACACCAGTGGGTTATGAATTCAAAATAATAATAATTACTTCCTTCTCCCTTCCACAAGGAAAACTCCTCAGCAGCGTCATCATGCATAAAGTTATCTCAAAACAGATTCCAGATTGGATCTTTAATTGCTTTTTCAGCTGACTTTTTAACATGTGTCTGTAAGCAATATGATTAAATAATGGTGAAATTACATTAATAAGAAATGAGATGGAAATCGGCTGCTCACAGTTCGGAAAACAGCACACAATAAACAAGCTGGAAGAAAGGCAGTCTCCAAATTTATGTACATAATTAGGACGAGCACTCAGTTCAACACATAGAATTTGTCACTCGCCATTGCTGATATAGGCGCCGCGAACTTGGAGCTCTGCAGCAGGAACATGTCTGTGGAAGATGCACTGAACAGACAGTTTAGGGATTAGCATTCATGCTCTGAGTGATTGCAGAGCACATACAGATGGCTCATTCAAGTGAGCCAGATGTTTTAATGAATGTTAATGAAAAATAAAAGGTAAGGGGAAAACAACCATTAGAATGCATTTGACACTTACAACGCCACATTGGAAATGAAAAGCATTCGACAAATAAATAAACATCATGCCCCAATTCATCACTTGGTTAATGGCCGGTGAAAAAAAATCGAGGCAAATTTCTATGGAAATTAGTGTTTGTCTATCCTCCCTTTTCAGTGATTAGGAATTAATTTGAATAATTAACGATGATCAACAGAGATGAGAGCACTGCTTCTAGGAGGGTAACTGAAGAATATTGCATGTGTGTGTGTGTGTGTGTGAGACTTGTTTTTGTTGCTCATTTTATTGGACTCATCTGTTTGCGTGAGTGGAAGGGAGCTTAGCTTACCTTGGTACAATCAGGCTCACGATTAGTTTTCACTGCTTCAACCAGTGACAAAATACATTCCTGTGATCAGAGCAACAATTTGAATGGGAAGGTACTTTATGTAACTGGGCATGGTAATGTTTTACAATTAATTATTTCTAGTTCTGATACTTTGTACTTCAGACTGTCTTGTTGTGTGCTGTGTACAAATAGTACAAGTGAAAAAATTGAGCCTACTATACAGTGCTTCTGAAAGAATTTTACCTGTCCTGAAACCTGAGAAATCCTTCTAACATAATTAAATTCAGTGTATATACTGGGATCTCTCAGCAGAAATTAAATATAATGGTCCTAAGCATGCTTTTATTAGTGTGTAATCACTCGAAAGTAAGAATTCTTTTGTCGTTAACAAGAATTAAGAATGAGATCGAGTTCTTCCACTGAAGTAGCCTTTTGCTTTTTTAAAGCAAATCCTCTTAGGGTTCTCCCTACACTTTGGAAGGGAGGGGTGAATGGAGAGGAATAAGTTGGTTGCAATCTACATCATCACCACTAGTGGCCAGTAAACCCTATAGATTGGTCCAGAATATGTCTTTTTCTCGGGCATGTAGTTAAAGGTTCAGTGTGTAGAATTTTGTGATATCTAGTGTTGAAGTTGTATGTTGCAGCTGAACACCCCTCACCTCACCCTCTCCTTCCAAACATGAAAAATAACCTTTGGTAGCTTCAGTTGTCATAAAAACTCAAAAGGTGTTTAGTTTGTCCAGTCTGGACTAATGTAAAAAAACATGGCGGCCTCCGTAGAGAGGGTCCCCTCAATGTAAATATAAAGTATTTAAATATAAATACAAAACTACAATTCATACAATTTAGATGGAACGAACTAGTGAAAACAGTGAGAATTATTCTACATTTAATTTCTGCCAATAGTTCCCTTTCACCTAAATCTTACACACTCGACCTTTAAAGCATGTGGCTTTTACCCTTTCTATAACTTGGATAATTAAACTTAGAACCTCTTGGAAAAAAGTAAAGCAAAGAAAGTAGTCCAATGTTCTGGTTGGAGTGCTGGAAACAGTAGACCACCATAATACTAGATAATTAGTCACACACTTATGACATGTGCTAAAAAAAACTTTCAATCTAATGACATTTTGAAAAGTCCACTACATAAATTAAATTATTTTTGTGGTGTCCGAGAGCACGGCTGTAATACAGGGGATGTTCAGAGCACTTAAAGAAACATCTGTACATGTGTGTATTCGTGCAATTATTCAATCAGTAAATCATGTGGCAGCACAATCATAAAGATACAGGTGAGAAGCTTTGATTAAAGTTCACATTAAACATCAGGACTGGGAATGTTCCTCTGCCAGACAGGCTGGTTTGAGTATTTCTGTAGCTGCTGATCTCCTGGGATTTTCACACACAACAGTCCCTAGAGTTTAGTCCGAATGTTGTGAAAATAAAACACAGGCAGTATAGCAACAGTTCTGTGGACTGCAATGTCTTGTTGACAGGTCAAGGAGAATGGTTGGTTGAGCTCAAGCTGACAGAAAGGATACAGGAACTCAGATAACTACTCTTTACAACTGTGATGAGCAGAAATTCATCTCAGAATGAACAACATGTTGAATGTTGGGGTGGGGAAACTACTAAACAGAAGAACATGTTGGGTTTCACTCCTGTCAGCCAAGAACAATCTGGAGCTCCAGTGAATATAGTATCATTAACACTGGAAAGACTGAAAAATGAAAAAAAATAGCCAGGTCTGATGGATCTGGTTTTCTGCAGCAGCTGCAGATGATAGAGTCTCAATCTGGCATCAACAACTTGCATGGACCAAAGCTGCCTCAATACTCCATCCACTTGGTGGCAGTGTGTTGGTGTGGGGAGTGTTTTCCTGGCACACTTTGGGCCCTGAACACCTATCAACTATTGTTTAAATGTCACAGCTTCTCTGAATAATGTTGCTGATCATGTGCATCAATTTATAGACACAATTTACAATCTGAGCATGAACACAACAGTGAGTTCAGTGACCTCCCCAGTCGCCAGATGTGAATCAATAGAAAACCTTTGTGAGGTGATAGAACATAAGATTGGCAGCATGAATGAACAACTGACAACAAATGAAAAGTGCAAATAATAGGATGGTGTCCCTATAAAGGTTCTTATGGATTGTACATTATGTATGTCAATAAAAAACATCTTTGGGCCATACATAAAACATGACTTTTTTTTTCTTTTCATTTCTGAATTTTCAAGTTTCATCAAATGCACAATTCCATTTTGGGGCAAATGGAACATTTTTATTAATATATAGGTTCTTGGTTCTGGGAGTTGTGGTCTATGGCTGCAATGTGATCAGCTCTTATAGGGAATTAAGCTAATAGCAACATATAATGCATATGGTGGAAGAAAAAAATGCCCCAAGCCTGATAATAACAAAAGTTTGTTGTATTGGATAATATACATATTTATTACAGTTTCTGAAAACAACAAAAGTTGCTGCTTCTTCCTCCTACAATACTTTCCTGCAATGAGGTTAGGTCATTATTTTGAATAAAATATCCAACTCCTCTCCTTTAACATTCTCCAGTTGTCAAATCATCAGTGTTGCGTGTGAAAGTGAACCCACCCTGAAATTGTGCCACATCTCAAAGGAAAAATATATAGAAAATGCAGTCACAGACAGCGTCCTATCCCCTCCCATGTTTTTCATCATAGCCAAGCACATTCTTATTGTCTGAGGCAGCTCAGGACCAAGGCAGGGTGTCATGCCAAAGCCTGGCTTTTATGAGGGGTTTTATATTCATTTGATGATCCTGCGGGCCTCTGTTTCCTGAGTGGATTATCTGTATATGCCGGTGCTGAGCCCTTTTTATATTCAGCGCTGTGGCAGAGTCAATAAGGTCCATTCTGCATACAATATTCAAGATTATACAAGACAGACAGCATAATTCACACTCAATCAGAATACAAATGACTGCAGACAGCGAAACAACGCATTTGAAAACAAACACAGCTGATTTTCAGTGCTGGAACTAGCTCAGTCATGACCACCTCGCTATGCTCACACAGACTGTGCTTTCTCACAGAACGTACCTGCGTAGAATTCTTTATCTCTGCTTGGTATGGAGTCCTTGTTTTGTGAAGTCATGGTCTGAAATAATGCATGCAGTAACACAGAGAGTAAGGTGGGCGTCAAGGTTACTGTATGCCTCGCTTTTTTCTTGTGCGTGCTTGTGCATACTTGCATGTGCCTCATTAAAATGATGTGCAGAGTATATCAGTCATGTGTATAATTGCATTAATGTGTTATGAACTGTTTCCACCTCTAGCAACCATAAAGATTGCTCTCCATGGGATGGATCGGGAGATGAGAGAGGAATACCTGGTGGTCATCCAGGCCAAGGACATGGGGGGTCACATGGGGGGATTGTCAGGAACTACGACAGTCACCGTCACGCTAATGGACATCAATGACAATCCACCAAAGTTTTCCAAAAGTAAGTAACTTCACGACCTCAAACATCCCAAATCAAATAATGAGGATAAACAAATTACTGCTGCTCTAAATGACTGTTCCTCTGATTGGTCATTATTGGGAAAAATAAATGTTATTTTGCAAATCTCATCAAACAGGCTCCTCAGAAACTAATTCCTCTAAATGTTGTAATGTCTAATGATGATGCAGTACTGTAATATGCTTTCAGTCTAATTTGATCAACATTTCGAGAAACCAAAGAGCTCTGTCTCTTCCTCCTCAGGTCTGTATGACTTTGTGATCCCAGAAGATCTACCGATAGGAAAAATGGGAGGAAAGGTGAAGGCCAACGATAGAGACATTGGTGAGAATGCCAGGTCAACATACAGCATCATCGAGGGAGACGACCAAGGCACGTTTGAGATTGTAACGGACGCGCAGACACAAGAAGGGATTCTCCGAGTGAAAAAGGTAAGACCGTGAAACTCATTGTAAGGCAGCTCTTCAAGCTCTCACTTTGTAAGTCACTGACAGACAAGGTCTATGGGTTACACGGAGCAGGAGCTGCAAGGTGCATTCACCATAGTTTGCTAGAAAAGAGTCTTAGCAGCTACATCAAGAAGTCACAGCTCATGACTTTAAGACATAAGCAAATACTGTCTACTGATGTGTATTCTCCCAAAAGGCCAAACTTCTCTGCCCACTTCTTCTGAAGCACCTCTGGTGAAATCCTGTGCATTAGAATTTGAGAGAAGGCTTCACTCTAAAGTATAGCATTTAATATGGACACACACAAACATTCCTTTAGCCACTCCGAGGGGGGGGGGGGGGGGCCCCCCCCCCCCCCCCCCCTCGGAGTGGCTTAGGGGCTAAAGGAATGTTTGCTTTTCTGTAAATATTCCTTAAGCTTATGACAGAAAAAACATAACTGTCACACTATGACATTTTTTTCTAGCTGGACTTTCACTTTGCAGACTTTTAAACAAATCTGGCCAATCCTATATGAAAAATAAAAAGTGCAAAGTGCTTGTTTTTGTACAGCCCACACTTATTTTCAAATTATGCTCCTGATTAGCTGTAGCTGTCTTAGCTTAAGGCAGACATACATATTGAAAATGTGTTAAGCCACTCACACACACACATAGGAGCAGATGGGCCGTTCCTATATTTGTTCTGTAGTTTTTCCTGTGAACAAAACTTCATCAGCGCTGTTGCTGGGTAATTGCCTTGCTCAAGGGGACACTTGCATTGGTTGTTTTGAGAAAAAAACAGACAAAACACATTAAATTTGTTCATCAAGATATTCCCAGGTAAACCCGTCCTGAGGTGAAACATTCTCGTCATGAAACCTATTTTTTTCTTTTTTACCTTGAGGCAAACACATTAGCACGTAATGACATGATACAATGTGATGTTGGTGAAACAAGTGTTTGAATTAGCACCGTTGTAATAGTCAGATGATTTTAAAAGTATGACAGCGGCTAAGGCACATACTTTGCTACTGATTATGCCAGGCCCAGTGGCGGATCTAGAATTATTTAAAATCAGGGGCCATAAAGGTGCCACAATTTATACCAATTATATGTCCAACATCCATGCGGGTGCACAAGTCATACTTTGTTTACTGTTAGCTCTAAATATTTGAGCAACCAATATATTTTGAAAATGTTTCTGTGTTCAAGTGCATTATTTTATTTAAAAAAAATATAATTCTAATTATTCACAAATCATCACATTTATTGTTAGTTTATAAAAAATAAAAAAACAGCAGGAAAAAAATAACTACTGACAGGACAGGGCCACTCAGCTGGTATCTGAGTGGATCTGACCCGGTCTAAGTTTCCTAACATATAGCAACAATGAAGTATGAATATTAATTCCAAAATGAAAGCAGCACAAGCTTGAGCACAGTTATTATTGGTCGATTGTACTCATGTAACACATGTTATCATATATTTGGCTCAATACTATATATAATGTGTGCAATTAACATTTGGAAACCAAAATGCATTTTAAAGACAATGTGACCTTCAAGGAAGTTCTGTTGGAAATCAAGCTGGGACTTGAACATATGCTATCAAAGATACCGAAGCACATGCTAGTTATATATGTATGTATTCTGTAGAAGTCTGTAGAAGCTCTGTTTGGTACAGGATGTTTGCATATATTGAATCATACACATTATTGATGGATGGGCGTTCTCCTGTCTTGAGTCATGGTTGGCTCAGTGTCTGGAGAGCTATAAATCACTCAAATAAGGAACACGATTGTGTGGTGATGTAAAACGACACTACCCCAAGGACATGTGGTGTGACTTTGTCAAAGTGTGAACAATGAACTGTGTGGGAGGTGGAATGTATAAGAGCGCATGCAATCTGCCGGGACAACAGTTCACTGCCACTGAAGAAAACACCAGCGCTGGAGAACAAACTCGACAAAGTCATAAAACCTTGAGCTGTTGACAAAGCAAATGTCAAACGTGTTAGTCTTTTAGGCAACCTCCAATTCCATGTCCCGCGGAGAGCCCCCCCATCGCCCCAATGTCTGCTCTACTTTCTCTCTGTGGCCCTGCGATGATTGTCTACATGGCTAATCGCAAGAGAGATGATAATGTTTGGAGAAAGTAACAAGACATTTGCACAGTGAGTGTTTTCACATCCCTCCAAACAGCAGCGTCTCAAGTTTAGACAAGTTGAAAGCAGCAGTATGTTGTGCCACTCCTCTTTGGTCTGTATCTGCACCGTTCTTATCCAACAACCAGGGTGACAGAAGAAAAGATTCAGTTACTCTTTCTCCAACATGCCCCGTCCCTGTTAACAGCTGTACATGTCTATAAACTGCCATCTGACGCGGAATTCAAATTATTATAAGATCCTTTGCGGCAAGGTTAAAACATATTGATCTGACGGAGCCTGGAGAGGCGCTAACCAGGGCAGAGATTCTTTGCTGTTTGGGTTTTAAGCTTTTTATCTGCCAGCCCCCAGGCCTGTCGAGGGATGTTAGTGGGATGCTGAGCTTTCACCCCTGCAGCCAACGCTGAACTTTGAAGTCTCTAAATGGCCTGTGTACATACTGATTTGATGCTAACGTTTGAGAGGGACAGAAGAATGACACAGCAGGGTTGTGTGTGTGTGTTAGTGTGTGTGTGTGTTTGAGGGCAGAGGTTAGCATGTGTAAGCATGTCCCTTTGTCACTGAGTCTAAGTGTGCGTCTCTGTTTAGAGATGTAACCACATTCAGTGCAGCCTCGTGGTTTCAGTAAGAAACAAGAATGTAAACTGGCTGTGCAACCTTGACTCCTGAAAGACGACTCTACTACTTTGTCTTTACACTTGGAATCAACAATAGCTGTACAACCATGCATACTAACACAAATCAAAGTGACTCTCTCTGGATTACTCATTCAAAGCACTGTGTGCGTTTATTGAATTAATCATTTGAACGGGTCAGAAATATGACTTGCATTCAGATTTCATGGCGAGAATAACAAACAGCATTTATGCACCTTGTGTAGATGCTTCATTTGATTCTGTAATTGATATTGAGAATTATTTTTAATCAAACTTAACTCGGCCCATCAAAGAAGCTGTTTGCCAAAATGTTTCCCTCAAAGCAGTTAAGTGGATTTGGTATAATTAAATTTGCCAGTAACAGTGAACCACCTCCCCTGTCAGCTCTCTGTTTGGACACAGGAAACAAATATAATGAGTTGTTTCTGCATTCTGTCAAGTCGGAATAACACTGGAAGATTTTGACAAGTGAATCGCAGAGCAATGTGAGGTTGTGTTCCCACATGAATTAAAAGTTGAGATTGTTCCTATATTACTTATAAGTGCAGGTGAAAATCAGTTTACAGAGTGGAATGGAACTAACCCACTTTATCATTTGACTTTGGATCAGCAGCCTTAAGCTTGTGAAACTACTACGGTTGAGGAGAAGAAAATAAGGTTGGACAGACAGGAGGAAAGAAGAAAGAAAGAAAGAAAAAGATAGCATCAAATCACATTAACATAAATTCATATTTATTTATTTTCAGTTTATGGTCTTGACTGTCCAGCAACAACCTTCTACAGCCTCTTACTCTCCACCACCCTCTGAATTGAAGTGTAATCCATTGGCTCGAGGTTTCGGCCACACTCTGTACCTTCTCAGCACAGACGGCACAGTGCAATCAGAGAAAGAGAGAGAGAGAGAGGAGAGGAGAGGAGAGGAGAGGAAGGATCGGAGGGCGGGTTGGGTGTCAGGAGTGAGGAGTGAGGAGGAGGGGGAGGAGGAGACGAAGGGGGGAGGTTAATAATGAAAGTGTTCCCAATAGCTTCTCGGAGTGTGGAGGAATAGGGCTTGGAGAAGCTTCAGGGGCTTAGGTCTGTCTACTCGTGTCCTGATGCCAGGAGTGTGGGAGTGTAGAAGTCAAAGCTCTGGGTCGTCTCTCCAGCTCCCACCCCCTCCGGCTGCTAATACCGTCTCACAGCCGGACCCCCAGACACCCCTCCACCCACCTGCCCCGGCTGCCCCAGAGCTCTCAGCGCTGGTCCTCTGGGACGACTCCTCTTGCGCTGCCCCTCTTTGACTAACTAAATACATTTCTCGTTCTATTCATCTCCCTCCTCTTAGTCCTTCTCTTTCCCCAAGCCAGCTCCACATCCCCTCAAGCGGCAAGGCCCACTTTTGATTTCCCTATAAATCCTGGTTATGGAGTGTGGAAGTGACTTGATCCCATTATTCTAGTAGTATGAGAGCGACCAGAGGTGATACAGAATGAAATTGTGACAGTCTGGGGTGTCCTCAGAGATGCCAAGAGAGTAAAATTGTGGCTCTCCTCTTTCTCTTAAATATTAATGACGAGCCATCTTTAAAGGAAATACAACTGCATAGCGAGTGAAAACAGGGATTAAACAGATCTGTCAGTCACACAGCCACATGTACTACACAAAATGTTTTCACTCCTCTTTGGGGGAAATTACACCTTCTTTTTTATCGTCTTGAATAAGTACCTGTTCTCATTTATTTTATGCGAGCTGGTTGTGATAGCAGTGTGAAAGCTCTGATAATCTGCTGTCACTGAGAGCATTAGCAAGGAGATTTGTGTTCTTTCATGCCGATAAAGGCTGGGAAATATTTTCAGGTTGTGCAGCTCTGACAATTATAATTATCATGATCAATTGACTTAAAAATAAAAATGATGATCAAATGATTTCTCTTTGACGTGATCACAGTCTTTCACAGTGTGTTTCCTTTTACAGTTTTAGTTTCTTTAAACTATTATGTTGGCATTATTTTTGAAAGAAAATTGTTTGGTAACACATAAAGTCGTTGTAAAAATACTCCGTTACATGTTTTATTTAAAAAAAAAAAGTATATAAGCATTTTCAGCAACAATATCAGACGTATGGTGTAGTCCCACAGCGTTGTTCTACCGTAATCTTACAATCTATCACCTATCATCTGCTGACGAATAGGTCTCTGGTGGCAACTGTCAATATTTTGAGGGCTCCTTGAAGAGGAATCCGACTCACTGTTCTGTACGTGCAAAGAAACATTATTAAGTGTACAACAATTTGGCCCTGAGGACCTTCATCAGGTAAAACAAAGGTGGTTGAAGGACCACAGGACCAAAACATTGTACTTTTAATTACTTTTTTTTGCAAGTACAGGACAGTGTGTGGGTTTCCTCTTCTCTCACCTGCATGTTCTTTTTCTTCTACGCACCTGTCTACAGTATTTTTGAAGAAGTGCATTGACCTTTTCAGAGCTGTTTTGGGGCCTCGATGTAAACAGGAGATATACGGGCCAAGACTGTCCTGTACACTGTTACTGTCCAACAACGTTGTATCAAACGTTTCTCTACACAAAACACAAACAGAATTACTTTAGGTGTTTTGGGTCCAGATGATATTTTGACTTACTACTATCTGCATAACTGTTCCTGCTTTATTTATGTTGGTTTTATAAGGGTAGACCAGCTATAGAATCTTTTCCATCAAAGCAGAAGAGACCAAGATTCTTCCCTCCCTTTAGCCCCATCGAGAGGGTCAAACTTCAAAATAACTAGATCTTACTTAAATAAAACTTAATAAGTGTCTTCCTAAACATCCTGTCTGGTGATCACTCAGATCTTTCATACACCTAGTTAAGATCACAGGATATTATTATTATTCTTTCTGATTTTTTCATCTCTAAAGCTGATTTGAGGTAACTATGATAAGGATCAGCAAAAATGTCATGACAGCTAAACTGTATATGCGTAAAATCTGTGAAGTGACCCTTTCGTCTATAACAAAGCATCATAGTTTATGAGCTGATCCTGTGTTTAGTCTGTAAAATTTGGATTTAAGAAGTAATATATGTATGAGTGCATTATGAATATACACTGACTATTAAGAAATACTTGAAATACTACATGTGTGTAATGTGTCGTTCCTGTGTTTGTCCCCACACCCAGCCTTTAGACTACGAGAGCAAGAGAGCATACACGCTCAAAGTGGAGGCCAGCAACGTCCAAACAGAGCCCAGCAGCGGCCCCTTCAAAGATACAGCGACGGTGAAGATCGTGGTGGAAGACTCTGACGAGCCTCCGGTTTTCTCCAAACCCATATACTTACTGGAGGTGAATGAGAATGCCCCCATCAACACGGTCATAGGCACAGTCACCGCCAGGGATCCGGACGCCCCGGGGAGCCTTGTCAGGTATGAGCGGGAACGCAGTTAACAGTGAATCTACTGAGAGAGACTCTGCTCTCCTACTTAGCCATTTGCTATTAACTGACTAGAGCAATGCCGAGCTGGAGACAGAAAAAGGCTCTTTACTCTAACTCCAAGAAGTGATGGAGAGAATAGGTGAACAAATGAGTCTTTTTGGGCTATAATGAGTTGTTTTAATAAAAGGTTCGACACTGAGGCATGCAATTAAATCCCTTCATGCCTGCCTGTGACCTTTGGAGACTGTGCTTTGCATCTTTGGCAGTCAGGAAGTGACTCCATGATTGCTCTTATTTCCACAGATGTACAAAAAGGATAAAAAGGCAAAAAAAGATTATGAGTTGAAGGCAGCACAACTTCCTCCTTCACTGTGTTATCAGCCCTGCTGTTTTCTCCTCTTGTGTGACTCATTCTTGGAAATACCACAAGGGCACCTTGAGGATAGGTTATACAGGCAATTTCTCTCTCTCCATCTTGGCATTTCATTAATTCTCCAGTGACTTGCTGACCGCATTCCCGGGACAACACTCAACAGGTTGTGTGTAATTGCATGGTGAGCAGAGAGCGGGCTGGGTTTCATAGATTGGCTGATGGTGTAGAGCAGGGCTGGTTCGCTTTACGTTATTTTTCTTTTTTTATTTCTTTTTCTGGTGGCATCCTCATGTTTAGTGATGAGATTGCCAGGAGGAATTGAGCCCCGAGGTTGCACGATGTCCCTTCCCCGTTAAAGAGAAAAAATATTTCATCTATTTCACATGTGACATCTTCTGCCCCCTCTCTATTCTTATATCATGTCATCACGCTCCTGTGTTTGTCAATGCAAGTCTGTGTTAAAGAGAGTGACAAAGCGAAAGAAACCCCTTTTACAATATAAGTTTAGTTAAATCAAGTGCATCATTAAATTTGATAATCTCAAAATAGCATTTATTCTTCTGAATGTGCAGTATTAGCTGTTATGTTTGTGTACTTTCTTGTTATGTGGCTCCTTCAGTGCATCATTATTGACAGAAAACGTACTAAATAATGAATGAGAGTGCATACAGACGGCAGCCTCCTGCCGACATGTTCTCTCGCTGCAATGAAACTGTCCAGATATCAACATCCTGTCATATCCTGGCACTTGTTAAATGTTCTGAGCGTGATACAGAGCAAACTGAGTCAGAGGCTGCCGTTTCAATGCACCAGGTTATTTGCCTTTTTTTTGGCAGTCTAATTCTCTCCCTTTCTTTTTTTCACATTTTTCCTGAGGTCATTCACTTAACACTCAGTGTTCATTATGCTTTTAATCACCAATTTTATAATTTTGTGGAGAGGTTGTTATTTTCAGAATGGATTGTAGCTCAGGGGCTTTGTGCGACTGTCAGGCCCTGAATGAATCCACTGCAGAAAAAGAATAGAGCCTTTCTTTCAAATGTGCTAAAGAGCTGTTGAGATTTTTTTAAATCAAGCTGCATTCTCAAACTTTTGATTTCATTCTCCGAGAGAAAGATAATGAATGAGAAATGCCTAATAGAATGTTGCATTAGTAAACTGCCAGCTCCAGTAAAACCGCTGATCGTCAGGGAAAATAACTGCCCAGAGATAACACACAGAGCCAGACTTGTACTTGCCAGTTTGCATTTTGTCACAACAAATTGTTTTATCTCTGTGATTTTCTCTTTTATTTATTTTTTTTTACCAGACCCCCATCCCCACCCCCCGCAAATCTTCAAAATGAGCGTGATCTATCACAGATGTCAAGTGTTTTCTTTGTGGGGGGATGAGATGAAACAAACTATTGTCATGAAGGGCTTAATATGATGCATCACCCTCACCAAAGACCGTTAGATTTTTACTTGGGGTCGGGCTTTGTATGAGCCTGTAACTCTGAGCTCTCGGGTGATAAAATGATTACAGTCTGGAAGATTTTAATCCTGCACATATACTGGCCGACAGAAGGCTGCAGCCTCAGCAAGGCCTCTTACAAGAACACAAGTTGTAAATAATGAAAGAATCTAGTCTAAAGCTGCAGTCAATAAACCAAATATTTATACTTAACAAACTTAGTTTGTTGAACACACAGGGAACTAACAATTATATGCATTATTGAACAATCTTGTTTTTTGGGGTGTATTGTATAAATAATTTGTTCACTAAACCATCAGAAAACTGTGAAACTCACAATTTCCCAGAGTGAAAGTGAACCTGACACACTGTAAAGAGACGCTGTTTGTTTAAATTTAAGACTAAAGTCCAGCATGCATAGAATTTTAAATTGACTGAATTGACTTTAGTTCTTGAATAATCCTCTAGTTAAACACGATTTTTTTATTTTATTTTTTAAATTTAAATTTCAGATGACCGACAATATGTAACATAAAAAAGTAAAAGATTGTCAAATTGCCAAACTGGAGAAGCTGCAAATATTTTTTTTTTGCTTTTAGATGACGATCTAATTGCTGCTGCTCTTAATGCATAAACCGTGTGGTATTATTGAAAACAAACATTCTGGCTGTAAAACTGATCATTTCATGAGTGATAGTTCTATATATATATTGAACTGTTTGTCAAGGAAACAGCAGTTGCAACACACGCAGGGAGCGTCTTTACACTTGTAGTAGGTGAAAATTAAACTAATCATCCCTCATTTGTCCTCCACCCTCCCTTCTGTCTTTTTTTCTCACCCTTTTTTTCCTTCTCTCTTTTATCTTCTACTTGGTGCTTTAAAAATTGGAAGGAGAAGGGTCTCCCATAAAGAAAGCTGCAGAATAGATAGAAAGTGGAGGAGTGGTGGCAGTAATAGCAGCATCACTGTGAGCTGATCACCATCTGGACGAGCTCTCAAGTCGGGCGCTCTGATTAGAATCGCCATCTCAATCAGCCCCTCCAGCCAGACCAGACCAAACCAGTCTGAGTTGAAAAAACCACTCGGGGCGAATGCTCTGGTGGGCTCTGTGTCCTCTGCACTCTGGAGACAAACCGCCCCTTAGCTGTAGTTAATGCATCCAACCAACAACATTTCAGGTGCACTCCATGAATTACTCCGTCAGTATTGCTTCTCTCTGGAGCCTGTGCTCTGTCGTTTTCTACCTGACTGATCACAAATAAAAAGCAATGTGACATCTGGCAGTCACTGGAGCTGTCTGGCATGAACGGCTGGATTTCATGGAATAGCTGTGGCTCTATTCTTATTTTAAAATATTGATGATTTGAAAAGCAGTGCCAGAATTTAATAAAATGTTTGGTTTACAGCTTTGTTTTTATTCTCTTTCCTTCTTTTTTTCTTGTTTGGATCTGTGGGGATGTAATAGAATTCTATAAAGCTTGTTTCTTTCTGCAGGCTTTCTTATGTTGTTTTAGCACAGCTGACAGCTAACATACTGCACATGGTAATACAAGCACTCATGTAAAAGCGATGGCTTTGGAATGAATGGAAATTTAATGTCAGGGAAGCACAGGGCCCCTATTCCGCCGTGCAGATTTCTTTTTTACTTCGGACTCTCGAAGAAAATCACTGCCCTGATAAAACAGGCCTGGGATCCAACCTGAATAAAAAGAAGCTATAAAACACCACTCGTCAGCATTCAGGGGACAGCAAAAATTAGTTCTACATCAGTGATGCTCCCAGAGGAATTACTGACCTAATAACAAGAAGGAATGTCACACAGGCATTTTGTTCTCTGTGGAAAAAAAGCACTTGTTCTTGAGCTTTTCACCTCCTCTTTCCCAAACTTGCACAGACACTCAGTCATTCAGACGCACACATTCACAAACCTTTAACTGTCACGGACACAAAACCCAGCACCCGCTGTCACACATATGTGAACAACAGCCGTTCACTCAAGGCCTTGCAATGGTTTGTACATGAGCCTGAGCGATACATTTGGTTGATATTGTATAATGTTTAAGTATGAGAGTATATATACTAGAAAAAATACATATACATTTAAAACATTTCTTAATTTTGAGGAAATGTTTTCACTTTATAATTTGACCACCAGAGAGCACTAATGACTTTATTTTTCACAATTCTCTTAAAAATAAATTTTAGATAAAACGTTTTAAGGAAGAAAAAGAAAATTACTAATTTTCACTGATGGAAATTAAAATTTACAAGCCATGAAACACACTTGTAGTTAATTTTAAATGCTCAGGAGTGTTTTATTTTGAACAAGCTTACCTTGTGTATCGGTTGGTTGTTTTACTTCCTGTCTTTGTCGCGTTTTTCTGCTTTTTCGATCGTCTGCCCCGTACTGATGTGTTTCAGCCATGTGTTATCTCGGTCTCCCTTGTGTATCTGGTCTCTGTGCTCCTGGTCCTTTTTTGTCAGTTCGTCTCCTCAGTTTGACCTCATGCTTCTGTTCAGCTCCCCGGTGTTTCTGGCAGTTCTTTCTTCTTTTCCGTCTTCCTGTCTACCTGTTGACCAGAGCAACTGTTAACCTGAGAATCAAATTCCTTTTTCTTTTTCATTGGACCTACTTGCCAGTGTCCTGGCTCAATTTTAGTACTAAAATCCTAAACGTACCGCAGCCTCAGAGGATGATTAGTGATCGTGTTACAGTGTTGCATCACGACAGTCTTTACCTCTTGCTCGCAGTGATACTGGCTCTTATGCAACAAAACTTTCCTCCTCACACACATCTCTCAGCCTGAGCCTTGGCGAGCAGCTCAGCGGGCTCGCTGACGTTTGTCTGAATCTGAGTCATTTTCTCCGTTTTGATCCAGATAACTACTACAGCTGTACTCGCTTCAATATCACTTACCTCACTCAGGTTGACAGACGATGTCTGAACCACAACTTGAGAAACTTTTGTGAGCGCAGAGAGATCCTAACAAAATATATTTCCCATGATGCATTTCACCTTCTAGATGTGAATAGTAGTGAGCTGCGATGCATTCGTTGCACATACGGTTTAACAGTAAAACATGAAGGGTTATTAATGTATATATTGTATCTCATGTTTATGGAAACAAATTGGGAGTTTGTTCTTAGTCTCATATTGACACTGGCCTCTAATGCAGCACATTGCATACAGGACATACAGCTGGAGTTTAAACGGATGCTGAAGGTGTCAGCAATCACACTCGCATCTCCCTCAAGAAAATTCGAAACCGTTGTCTCTTCCTGACATTAATCCATCTGACCAGGTATCAGCATGTCTCTGTGAATTCAGGGTTTCCTTGGTAGAATGACTCATTCTCAGTTTGGATAAACATGACTAGTGCTTGTAGTTGTGGATTATTCCTGTGTTGTGCTCAAGATGGGTTATGTATCACCACATCAGTCAAAATGTAATTACATTTCTCTCCACCTTTTCAGATGTTGAATTGACATCAAATTTTACTCCACACATGCTCACTGCTGCTTTTTGTGATTAACATGCACCATAGACAACATATGCTGGTTTCACTACTTTTGTTTGGCACTGGTCTAATAGCAAGTTTACAGCAAAATTTAGCATCACTACACAACATTACAGACATTCACTGGAGTCTGCCTTACCTACTAATAACTTCTGGGATTTCCAAAAATATATATTTTATTAGGGCTTTTGGCTTATATTTTGATAGTACAGAGAGAGCTAGCGGTGAAAGGGGGGCAGAGAGAGTGGGGGACGACATGCAGCAAAGGGCAGCGAGTCGGAATCGAACCTGAGCCGCTGCAGAGGCGTGTAGCCTCATTCGGACGGCAGCTAAAGCCCTGTAACTTCTGGTATTTGATGGATTGTTGTAAGTGGAGAAAATCACTTAATACCCAACATGTGATGATAAAACCTTCGATGGCCACAAAATTTCACCAGTCCTCTAACAGAGAAGATTTCCTGGTCACGGTTTGAGTGACAAGTCATCTGTGTCAAAGGCAGTGCACAGACGCCACATCAATGCTATGTCATATAGAATCATAAATGAATGAAATAAAAAAAGAGCAATCTCACTGATTACAGCCTATGCTTTGTTTTTTATGCACAGAACAGTACCTGTCACACTGATCCACTCTGGGCAGCATATTATGTTTGTTATTTATCGAGGCAGAATATTTCTAGATGCCAGTTGCATCAGAGGTACTCTGCTGTGAAATATTTGGCACAAACAGCGTCTACGTGATGTTTAACTGTTAGACTTGAGGTCAGTCCAATGCCGTTTAAAGGCTTGTGAAAAGTACGGACACGCGCATGCATTTGCACACATCACACTCAGGAAAAGCTGTGCACGTACACAGCGCTGGATATCATTTTTTTTATTTGCTTTTAATTCTTTTCACATCACGTTGTCAGTTTGAGTGACAGGTGGCAGAACATTTCAGGGTCTGTCTCCCGCTTCCACGTGAGGCTGTCAGAGTCTGACTGGGATCCACTCTGTCTGCAGGAGAGAGGCTGCTCCCAGGTGGTTTGCTGCTGTCTGCCTGTCTTGAAAGTGCTCTGCGTCTGCAGGGCAAGAGAGAAAGAGAAAGGAGGCGGGTGGGGGTGGTCCTCATGGACCTCTCCCAGCCCGGCGTCTAGAGGATTTTACACCATTTCATCTCAAAAATGGAAATGTCACGGCTCGGTACATCTCCCCAACAATTGGAATCTGGGCCAGTGGTTTATTTATTTCATTCCCTACCAAGCAGCACTTGCCTTCCTATCAATTGTTGTTGTTGTGACTTTGTCTTTTTCTGTTGCTCTTTCTCTATTCTCCCTTTTCACCTCTCTGTATGGCTTTCCTTCCTCCCTCTCTCTCTCTTCTTTCTCTAATAAAAATACTCCAGGGTTCCTGCCAACAGGTCTGCACTGATAGGGATGAGCGGTTCCACTGCGAGATGGTACGAGACCCAGAGTTAGGAAGGAAGGGAGACAGGGTGAGCAGGGCGCCTGGTGGCTGAGGGATGTCTGTGTGTGGGGAGCAGGGTCTGGTCTGACAATAAGGGGAAAAAATGGATGGGCTGATTGGATTGGGTAGAAGCTTGAGACCCAGCTGGATGGGAAAGAAAAAATTAAAGTTTCTGTTAGTGAGTAAGAGGGGGAAAAGATTGTGAGGGAGGATGCTAGAGTGAGCCAGACAGAGCGCGAGAGAGAGAGGAACAGGGACAGTTTGTCCTGGAGGTATGGAAACACTTGCGTGCCACACAGGTGTAATTAGCTCACGTGAATCACAGTGTCCTTGTGTTTTGGTCGAGTAGGATGTTTGTGACAGTCGCACATAAAGGCTAATGAAATGTGTGAAACCAAAGGTGACCCGTAATGACAGATTTCTTTTTTTAGTCAGTTTTTGTGTGGGCTCGTCCCAAGAATTGGCGAGGCGCGTGTTGCAACATGAAAGAGCGATTTCACAGCTTCGAGTTGCATCGGAAAATTCCCTTTTATGTGCATTCCAATTTCATGCCCGCTGCTGGAGTTTCTTACAGGGTAGTTTTATGTCTTGCCACCGTATTTTTGAGACCGTACAAGTCTCCAAAAAATTTTTATAAAAAGAATCAGTGTGTCACAGGCAGGGTCACACAGAAATAGAATCAAGAAAATATTTATTTTTTTCCAAATGTGTCCTTTGAAAATGTTTTGATAATTTTAACTTGAGCTGCTTTACTGACAAGCACATACAAATTGCAAGAAGATAACATTTTGTCTCTTGTTATGCAAGGTCACACATGATGGTCACGGAATCATTTCCATTGCACTCACACATTCACATTCTCTCACACACACACACATTCTCTCACACACACACACACACACACACACACACTTTCACACAATGCTGTCCTAACTCATTAATGCAAAGCCTCTGGGAGCCATTGAGTGTTGACAGAGCCCAAACAGGGTTAACAACACCCCATCTCTCACCCTGACATGACATGTACGAGTGATCTTTTTTTGCAGGAAGGGGGCGTCAATGTGATTGGATGGGGGGGGGGCTTCTTGGACCTAATCGGACTTTAATGCCCCCTGATGCTCATGTGAAGCCTGTAATTGTTCTTCAGATGATAATCATTGATTTCCTACTGTTTTAATGTGCATTAATCCATAGGTGTCTCCTGATGGAGGTGGACCTGTTAGCCACAGCACCCGAGGGGCCGACTAAAGATGCTTCGCCAGTGCCATCGCGAAACAGTTTTGGCTCAAATTTCAGTTGATCTGTTGTCTTTGCAGATACTTCATCGATCGGCACACGGACCTGGAGCGGCAGTTCAACATCAACGTGGAGGACGGGAAGATCACACTGGCCAAGCCGCTGGACCGAGAGACAGACATGTGGCACAACATCACAGTAACCGCCACAGAAGTCAGTAAGTAACCTCAGACTGAAGCTGCTCTCCCACTTCCTGCTGCGCACATCGTTCCTCATGAATTGTAATGTCCTATTTTGGAAATCAGCGCACTGCTGACATTCGTTGGCACGCATGTTTTAAAAATCGAGAGCTGCAGGAGGAAACGTAGAGATATCTTCTTCCTCTCAGCTACTCCGTGGTTTGGCTCAGTCAAAGGAATCACTGACCTGCTGCACACAATCCTCTGTTCAGTGCAGCGCTTTGTAAACCAGCCCCTTTTTAATCGCTCCGAGAGTGTGGCACAAACAATTAGCATTTGAATCCACGGAGGCATTAAATACGTTAATTTGCTGAGTTTTGATTGAATTAAACAGCTCAGTAGTCAATTTGTGGAAGTGCAAGAACATTAAGACGTATCAAATAAACAGTTTTAAAGACATGCTCCAGAGTGGATTGCTCCAATGCCAGCATCCATTACAGATTAAAGAACATCTGCGAACCGCAAAACTCACTGACTATGTAGAAAATTTTGCCGGCAGAGCTACAGCCACCACATACAACAGCTCAAACCATATGTAAGGCTTTATTTGCATACAGATTGTTTCAGGGGGGCTGTATGTTGTGATAAAGCTTAATGTACCCCTTTAGGCTATTGGAATAGAAATTTACACAGCTTGTAACTTTTTTTGCCACTATCCTTTTCCGCTCTATCTCTCTATCCTTGTCTCCCTTTATCAATCTCTTTCTTTCCTTAATCATAGGAAACACACATTAATTGTCAGAACAAATAAAATCCCAAACATTATTTGTTGGCTGTGCAGCGCAGACAAATCCCACCATCGTAGCAGCCCGTTGGAGGAATTGAACGTGTCTCGTTTGATAAGCCAGATGCCTTGTCATGTCTTGCACCTATACATTTAAAGTGCATTTTCATGCCTCTTGGCAAAGTAACTGTGGCTGGAGATAGTGGTGTCTCTGGGAACACCTAATAGGAATTTGCCAAAATAAATATGGCAGTTTTGCTATTCTTCACAAGCGGGGAGGGGAAGCCGGTGTCTTCTCTGGCGTGAAAAGGAATAGATGTGTTCCCAGTTCTGTCCCGATGCCATTTGCCACCCAAACGGGGACGCGTTCTGCTGCCTCGCATCAGTTGACATCTGACTAATCAGATTCTATTCCCTGTCTGCTGCTGCTGGGGGAAAGTCACTTTTGCAGAAGGCTGGACTCGGTCTCGCGCTCTCCCTCTGCCCTAATCCATCTACGCTGTCTATCAGACTGTCAATTTCCACTCCCCTCACTGCTTACCTCTTTTTCAACCCGTTGCCAGGTCCGCTTGAGGTCTTGTGTTTCTGGGACATCTTGTCCGCATGTGTTGTTTTTATTAAAAGGAGAAAAATAGAACATGAATATTTTCTTGTAAGAGACATACAGTTATATGAGCTTTTCACGCAGATATAGTTATATCTATTTCCTCTTCTCTTGTCCAGGTTTTATTTTAGGATATCTTAGATGAACATGATGTCTTCAAACAGCTGATTCAAGAGAATTAGGGGAATTTTATTTTATAATGACCATATTAACACTGTTTAGTTTTCAAAACAATTTTAAACCATGGCCATCCAGATTAATATGATTAAACATCAATTGTTTTCCATCTGAGAGCCTCCCTTCTTAGGAAATCATAGGTTCATGTCCAGAACATAAAAACAATGTATTTGCGATCATTCACACAACATTATAAAGTCTTATAATGTGTCTGTGTGGCCCTGTATAAAACCTTACCAGCGTAGTGATTCAGTCTTGTTCTGTCCATATTAATTGATAATTGGTTTAAAAGTTGGCATCTGGCACCTCTGATTAATAAATTCAACAGTTTACATGGACTCTTGAAAAGGGACTGTCAATTACCAGTGATGAATAATTCCAATCAACATCTAATCTAACTAAATAGCCTTTTATTGTCTTTTTAGACTTCAGTTACCAATGACTCATTAATATGCATGTTTTAACCCTCATGTTTTAAACATTGCAGTGTACAGGGGATTTTCAAAAGGCACTTTGGATGGATTTTTTTCTCTCTCTCGGTTGACTCGAATCCTGTTTTGCATCGCTGATACCAGCTGAAACGTAGATTGATGTGGCTTATCATCTGTCCTCCCATCAGCTCAGGAAATGAAGGGAGAAATAAAGATGGAAAATAAAGGAAATTAAAACTAGGTCACAGAATTCACCTGGGATTTCATGTGTAACCTTGTTTTTTTTGTATAGTTTTCTCCCAGTTATGTGTTTTGCTCACTGTCTTTTTATCTTTGTCTTTTTTTTGCCTCATCTATCTATCTATCTATAGGAAATCACAGTCAGATATCAAGGGCAATAGTTGCTATCAGAGTTATGGACATAAACGACAATGCCCCTGAATTTGCCACTGAATACGAGGCCTTTCTGTGTGAAAATGGAAAACCCGGACAGGTAAGTGATCTATCACTTTCTTTTGCTCTCTCTCTTCCTTTCTTTCGCTCTCTTTCCTCCCCTCTAATGATTGGCCACAGTGAATTATAGCCTATTTATTTCACTGGGAAACTACAGAGGTGGGAGTGCGGCCCTGTTTTCCTGCAACAGTCCTCCCCTGACACAGTGTGCGCAGAGCAAAGGGGGAATGAGAGCAGTCAGGATTGATCAGAGTGGATCATAATTCAAGACTGTCTTTCATGTCTTCCTCCAGATGGCACAATACTTCCCCTAGCCAAAAATCCTGGATAAGTACTTAGCATTCTCCTTCTCATCAATCGACCTCATTCAGGGGACCTGCGTACGTACAATAGGGAGCTTTATTGAAAGGGGGTGGAAAAAAAAAGGTGGAACTGAAAAAAGAGAAACTGTCCTGCAGGGCCTGAATTCTAATTTCTAATCAATCATAAAGACATACGGCCCGATAAGACCTATGATGACAGATTAACAGATAGAGCCAGGAGCTGGAAAGTGTGCCAAACTAGACAGGACCTCATTGATAATAATCTCAAACCCCAGGAATGAATAGAGCATATATTTCATCGGGTGTGATCCAGCCAGTATTACACTGAGGCAATCTTGGGTGGCAAAAAACAAAGTAATGAATAGGCTGCCTCCTCTAATGGCTTTGAGACCTCCTCTGTATATCTTCTTGTCTCTCTGTTTTCAACACAGGTGATCCAGACTGTCAGCGCAGTGGACAAAGACGACCCAATACAAGGCCACTACTTTGACTACCGTCTCGTCCCAGAGATGCTCAACAACCCCAACTTTACCATCAAAAACAACCAAGGTGGGAGACAAAAGAAAGAAGGAACACAGAGCAGCAGCTCTTTTGTGGCAGAATGACTGAAGTTTCTGTAAATTTCTCCAATGGCTTTCCAGTCCAATCTCTAACCCGCGGCATGTTAGCCGTACTGGAGATGAAATCTGGTGGATCAGTGTAGCTCACAATTAGCAGATGTGAAATTGTCTGGACACCAGCTTCTTTTTACTCCCCAGTGCGTTTTGAGGGAAACTAAATGAATGGGATCCAAATGGCTTTTCCTGGTATTCTTGCAGCTCAATGTAGGATGACTTCCTACGAGCTGTTGCAGCCTGGCAGATGGTACTAAATGTATCTACTAAATACTCTCATTGGTTTATTTGCCATTTTCCTCTTGTGTTTATCCAACTCCTATTCTCCTGCAATCCTCTCCATACAATGCTCTGAACAGGCTGTGTTCATGATGACGTTGTGTAATGTTTTCAGCTCGGGGCAAAAAATCTTCATATGGTACTGGCCTTCTGTTTCAACACAGAGCCTGCAGGCTAACTTACTGCAGGAGGAGGATGGAGTCCTTAAAATCAGGTCATCAACTTGACTATGTATCTTTAGATGAAAAGAAAAACCTTTTACTTTTCTAAGGTACATTAGCAAGTAGGAGGAGATGTGTAATAATCACAGGGAAAAAAACAAAAATCTATTTTCCTATTACATGCAAAAACCTTTTCAGAAAATGTGTAGTCAAAAATGAAAGGCTGTTTAACATGCTCAGATTTTGCTGCATAATACTCTATGGATCTGCCTGGAAATACAAGCAGGTTCCTCAACACTCACCTTTTGTTAAAAGGACATTTAATAGTTTCCTGGGATTATGTTAAAAACCGATTCACTAGTAGGCACAGCTCTGCTTTAGTTTGAACAGCAAAAACGTTGCATTTTCACTTGCCTGAAATCCAAGTAATTATGTGTTGTGGTTCAGCTCTGTATATTACATACCACCAACAACCACTTCTCTATGGTAGTGCTAATTCCAAACAGGAAAGAAGCCCATCGTGCCATATCCCCCAGCACTTGAGCGTCTATTTCTATCTGAATGGGCAGCTGTGGGAGACACTTCATTGAAGAGCGGCAGGTGCCTGTGAACCCCTGTGTGCTGCCGTTGTTTGCAATGATCAGTCTAATTGTAGGGATCACACAATGAAGAGGTTAGGGGTTGCCCTCAGTGGGGAACATTTTTTGAGTTTCTGACCAGCTATAGCACAAGATTTTGAGGAGTCTGGCCTGTGCGCATTTAGGAGAGTATTCCATTGTCAGTGATAACATAATGACTGCAATGCCAAAAAAGAAATTATCTCCCTAGTACAAATAGAAAAATGTACTCATTAACTCCATTTTCCCCTCACTAGAGAGAAAACCTCCACATAGGTCCCAACATTCCATTTACATTTTAATCAAGCTACACACTAAAGCTACACACTCAAATGTATATGTAGAAGGTTTTTTTTCTTCAAGATCAATGAATTAGTCCTTGGGGAAACAGGGAAAATGTTTAAAAACCAGCTAATTCCTGGGGCACCTTCTGATCTGGGTCCGCTCAAAAATGAGGTGGTTTCTTTCCTGACCAATACTACATTCTCCCACAAAGTTTCATGAAAATCTAATCTCTGGTCTGACAGTACCTTGCAGTGGCTCATGCTAGCAAACCTTTGCTTTATGACTGACATTACTGAGTCAGTGACAATGACTTGTTCCTACTAATGCTAATTTTGCACCAAGTTTTAGCCTTTAGCATTATCCTCTAATAGTAAGTTGTAGCAACAGCGGCTGCTGTGTAGTAAAAGTTAATAAGACTCATTTTGAAAGAGAAGTGGAATCTTGTTGTCTATTTTACAGCATATCGGCTTGTGATTTGCATGACACCACATTGGTGTCCATACTTTAAATCAGTCTTTTAACCAAAAGTATAGGGCCAAACGCATCTTTCAAATATCACCATTACTCAAGTCTTTTTTCTTGAACAATTACCTTAGCCTTGCTTTTATTGTGTTAGTGTCCCAAAACAAAAAAAAAACTTCCTGGTCAGAGGTTTGGAAGGCAAATGGAGATTTTTGATGTAGTAAAAACAAATAATTAGAGTACATTTGATAATTATTTTTGATTGCCAATAGGAATTACTTGAAGAATTTCGACTGCAGCACATACTCAGCAGTGTAAGTATTTTGTAAATTAGAACATATGAGAGCAATTATTGCACGTTTATGTTTAGCATACACATGGAAAACTCCACCACTTTCATTTGAACTTGCACAATAAGGCTGCAAATATTAACATATCCACACACTTAGTGGTGTAAAGAAATCAGACACACTTAATGTGGTAAGAAGTTGGAATAATCACCCATTGGTATGCAGGAAGTGTTACAAATTCACCTTAACAATGCTGAGCATTTCTGTGCTTCTTCCAATCCATTGGCATTATGTTATTAAGTAGCATTTAAGTCCTACTTGTTTGGCATTTATAAATGAACTGTGTGTAGTCGCTCACATAATCTTGAGGGACTTCAGCAGTTCAGAAAGTCGTCACACTGTTAGTGTCACTTCTGCTGTCACTCCTGTCATTTGGAGCCTCCCACATATTACATTATTCATAGCAGAAGTCCTATTCAAATGAGCCTTTTCTTTTCTCATGGTGAGAATTAATATTTCAATGTACACAGTGTTTTCATCAGAATCCATCAGTCACTAGATGAAACACTGCTAATGTGCCCTAATATATAAAAGATAATAAAAAAGCAGCCTTGTAACTGTTCATTCTGTTTGAAGGTTATAGCAGTTTTCTCTTTGAGTAGCAAGAAATGTTTAATTCTATTTTTAACTATCAGTAGTTGCCAAAAAAGGAGAAAATGACCCGTATATGAGGACAAGCCTTGGCGCTTTACTGTTATTGATAATTGCACTACTGAGTTGTCCCAATGAAGAGACACATTGGTACTTGCAACACTTTGTGGCAGCACAAAGGAAATAAATCTGTTCATATGTTCACATCAATTACAGATTGTGCAAAGAAAATGATTTTATCATGAAGCATTCAATTGAGTTTGCTCTGTGAACCCAGGCAGTTTCAACATAGCCTGTCTCTCCACAGCGTATATACAGTATATCAGCAGATCCATGTTCCTCCCTTCATGACAGTGTAACCGCCAGCAGTGAGGCAAAGGTTAGACTGATCAGAAATCTTGTACATTTTCCATAAGATCAGCAGGAGTAGATTCTTATGGGAATGCAAGTGTTTGATAATTTGAGCAGCGTAAGGAGAGCTGGCTAATGAGCAGACAGCTTCACAGAAGTGCCATCAAAGAGCAGCTGGCACCTTTCTGGGTCGACATGTGCCGTCTCCTAAGTCAGCGTCACCTGCCATGGTCTCCTCATTTCTCCAGCTTTCAAAGGGTAGCGCAAAATCGGACTTGCCTTTCTTCAGAACTTCCAAATTGGGCTGTCAAGAAAAAGGGAAGGTGGCTGAAATCCATCTACCATACGAGAATGCTAAAAAACCTCAGTGACGATTGATGTGAAATTAGTTTACCCTCACCCTGCACTGATCTTCACACAATTTAATAAATGGAACTTCAGTATGTTGTCACCATGAATAGTAATGACTTTTTACCACATATTCACACCAAAATTCATTTCTGGCTTAACGTCTCTCCAACAGACAATTCAATCAGTGTTCTAGCCAAGCATGACACCTTCCGACGACAGAAACAGGAGGTGTACTTCCTGCCAATCATTGTGACAGACAATGGGAATCCACCAATGAGCAGCACCAACACCCTGACCATTCGGGTCTGTGGGTGCAGCAAGGACGGCATTGTGCAGTCTTGCAATGTGGAGGCCTACGTCTTACCAATCGGCCTTAGTATGGGAGCTCTCATTGCCATCCTGGCCTGCATCATACTGCTGTTAGGTGAGGTATATTTTTGATTCATAACCATATTTCCATTTACAAATGTGGATGATGACCTTCATAGATTTGTACTCACTGACAATCCATAGCTTGACCTGGACTTCTTCTTTGTGTCTTTCTTTCTATCTTTGTGCCTTCCATTTTTCTGTCTTTCTTTCTCACAGTAATAGTAGTACTATTTGTTACTTTGAGGAGACACAAGAATGAACCTTTGATTATTAAGGATGATGAGGATGTGAGAGAGAATATTATCCGTTATGACGACGAAGGAGGCGGAGAAGAGGACACCGAGGCGTTCGACATTGCCACACTGCAGAACCCAGACGGCATCAATGGTTACTTGCCACGCAAGGACATCAAACCCGACCTGCAGTTTATGCCTCGAGCTGGGCAGCACTCAGGCCCCAATGGCGTGGATGTGGATGAATTCATCAACGTGCGGCTCCACGAGGCAGATAATGACCCCACAGCACCGCCTTATGACTCCATACAGATCTATGGATACGAGGGCCGTGGATCCATTGCTGGCTCCCTCAGCTCACTGGAGACTGCATCATCAGACTCAGACCAGAACTATGACTATCTTAGAGAGTGGGGTCCACGCTTCAGAAGACTTGGGGAGCTCTACTCAGTGGGCGAGAGTGACCGCGAGACCTGACCTTTGGTTTGTTAGAAAAAAGACCTTTGAGATTTTCTTTTTCTGTCCACATACTTGTCTATTAAACGCTAGGGGATTTGCTGGCTTTTAGAAACAAGTGTTTAAAAAGAAAAGAAAAAAAACAGTTAATATCAAGGGAAGCCACCTTTTTGTATTCTTATTAGAGTGAGGTATAGCAGTCGTCATCCACTACGTCAAGCGCATTGTAATTGTTGAGCCAAACAATGTCTTTATTAGGAGATCCATGATTCTTGTGGAGTGTAACTTAGATTCCGTTGTGGAGTGTCTAGCAGTATTTTGGGTATTAGTCATTCTGTGACTGCCAGTAGCAGAAGAACCCTGGTTTTGCTGTTTTCCAATGAAAGGAAATAATGGGTAATATTGGGTTCTCTGAAGCTTGAGTGGGCACTATACTCCATTCACCATGGACTGCACGCTGGACTGCAGAAGCTGTAGAGAGACCCTTGTTTTATGTCTGGCTGCCGAAGCCACACCGCTGATCGGTGAGCAGAAATGAAACGATGAAGAAAAAGCAATATATGGTCTACATTACAATGATGAATGTATGTATGATTTGAAAAAAAGACAAACCAGTATTGGCTTTAAGGTGAATTTGTTATCATTTGATATGTTCTCTGGTGGCCACATTTATAAAGCCCAGAGAGGCTCGCTTTATACAACTCTTTGTATTTACATGCTACAGGTGTGGGTCGCAAGTGTTATTAGCCTATTAAAGACTGAAATGAAGACAAAAAAGAGAAATGTAGAAACTCTGAGGCCTTCTTTTTACAGAAGCAACATTAAATACAATTGTAATCTACTGTTTTTTGACAAGAGACGTGTTGATTCTTCATTATTGTTGAGTTTTTGTATATTTGTTCTTAAATCATTTTTTCTGTGCTGACAATTTCAAGTGAGTGTGTTTAGATGATTTCACATTAAGCTGTTTTTCGACCATTAGAACACTATTTCATGACAGCCAAACCTTATCATGAATTTACTGCAGTTGATGACATAGACTAGATGTAAGCAGGCAACAAGAGCTCTAAGTTACTGTAGCAATGCACATGATCTAAATAATTGGGACTGTAGGAAATGGGACCTTTCTGATAACATGCTAATTCTGTGTAAAATATGTCTCAAAATATATTTTTGGGGTACAGCCAGTGACTGTCTGAGCACAATAGTTAAATTGATACCTACGTGTAGTATGTGACTCCCTCCAAACATCAAATCTCATTTAGCAAAGATTGCATTAGCCCAAGAAAAATGAAGATAAAAATCCAGACCATGTGCATATTGTGCTTACACTGTATGATATCAGATAAAAAAGACTTGTACTGTACATAGAGTTACTGCTAAAGTCATTAGCTTTCAATGAGGTGGTAGGTTTTGTCTCTGCACGTTAGCTCTTGCACATAATGAGAATCTCAATGGCACTACAGCTGCGTGCATACTCAGTTTGTACTGATACAGTATTATGGCAGTTCTCGGTAGACTAAACAATATATATGGAATAGTCCTACATGCAGATCATATTTTCTACTGTGCTTTAATGCTTATAAATGTGTATGTTCAATTATTTACTCCCTGTACTGTAATCTAAGATACCCTGTATTGTTTCCTACTTTGTGAAATATATTTTTATAAATATTTGTGAAGGGGTGTGGTTTCTTATTCAATTAAGGTGTCACTGACAACACAAAACGCAGATAGAGAGGCGTAGGCTCTGTACTGGACCCAACCCATTACATTCTATTGTCTTCAAGTCAAATCCAGACTAGTTAACATATGAGATGCCACCTGACCTGTCCCCTGTGATTAAACACACATGCTTCAGATACACTCACTCACATCAAATAGGTTATAGCCTGAGTTTGTGGGACTTCGCAGCACCTGTTCTCCTGCAGCTTTCATTGTGTTTTCACTCTGTAACCTCATAATTAGCTATCAAATGCTAATACACTATGGCGCTTTTCACAAGCAGCAAAACCAAGGAGAACATATTAATCACTGGCTACTTTTTTCTTTATGTGATTCATTTTAATGCTCTAGCTTTTTTTGCATTGAGGTGAAGGGGTCAAAGGTGGTGTCGTAGGCTTTCACAATAAAATAAATCCTTGCAGCTGACAAGGCTTCATAGAAGCTGAATCATGCACCTTGTTGCTTGCAATAAACCAAGAGAGGAAGGAGAAGAAGCTGATTAAGGTGTTTAAAATACTACACAATGTTGTTCATATCTGATTTCTCCAAATTAGAAAATAACTACTTTGATCTTACCTGCTGCCCGCCTGCCTTTATCATAGCCGTGTCCACGATTCACATGAATACATTTTAACCTATTACACAACTGTTTTGCGGGACCTGAGCCGCTGTGGGAGTCTAATCCTACAGAAGAAAATGTTTGTATAATGTCTTTAGTGGCTCTGGAGGGAGCTTTAGAAATGTACCCTGATGATCTCATCGGGATGTCATCAGTGTTATCTGAGCTCAGGTTTGTGATCCTGCATTTATAAATTCTGTACTACTGTAAATATCCCCAAGAGTACCCTGTCTAAAAGAAATCCCAGCAGTGTACCCTGCAATAAATGTATGTCTGTATATTTTGATGTTCAATGGCTTCACTGAAAGCAGTTTGACTGAAAGTGAATATACCAGAAGAGTGAACTGCAACAATGCATAACAAAAAAGAAAATCCTTGATCATCATAGAAAAGAGAGTCTAAGAGGAAGAAGCACAATGTACCTGTCCTCACAACAGCAGGCCAGCAGTTCTGAATCTCTCTGAATACATCTGGCAGATTTATGTGTCATAAAACAGTGTGATAAAGACAACAGCAACCCTGTACCGTTATATCACCCAGACTGTTCTTCACTTAGTCACCGAGCATATTCTCACCCTGAATCCTTAAATACTATTTGAGTCAGTTTCCTCTGTCGTCCTTGATGCTGTGGGCAGAAAAACGAGGTTTAACCCACTCAAAATTCTATTTATTACACCTTTACAGTGCACCTGAAAAGCAGCTACTAGATAAGAAAATGCATCAACTTGGGGAAAAAAAATGTCACATGCTTATCATGTTCCCTTTCCAGCAGCTCCTCCTTGGCTTGAAAATGTCTTGAAAGGCGACGTTTCATCTCTTAAACTTTCTGTTGCTTGCTGAGAGTATATATTAATATATTATCTTAAGAGTGAGATGTGTGAGTTTTACATCATGAAGTTGGGACAAATAAAACTTTTAGGAGGAAATAATGGACTATGTCACACTCATTGGAACATAGTAGTCATATATATTAGTAACATAAAGTCACAATGAATCACTTTCTTCACCACCATCATCATCTGTGTCTTATCAAAGGGAAAAATAAGACTTGTGTATTACCCTAGTTAGTTATTCTAGTCCCACAGAAACTATGTACCCAGGGAGAAACGAATTTTGCATGAAAAAGCCGTCACTGATTAAGTCTGGGATGTAAATTGTGATGTTGTGTTGCAATCGAACTCATCCATCCTCGTTATTTATTTTATTTTGATGAGCAAAGATCAGATATTGTGCAATTTCCAATTTTCTTGCCTTTAATCCTTATTCCTATCTTTATTCCTCTTTGAACAGCCTCCTCTTTGTTAATCTTGAAAGATTAGATTTTTGTTTGCTTTATCTGATATTGAGGTTTTTCACAAATAATAAAAGCTTTTGATAGTATCAATTACTGCGATAACTGTGCCTCAGTGAAGTCAAAGACATACAATCATGCTATGTCTATACTGTATATAGTGTCTGTAGTGTGCAGAAACACGGGGATAATTTTCTTGTTTATTAACATAGTAGTCACAAACATGAAACACATTTAATGTCAGAAATCAGAAATATCAGAAATCTTATCACCTGATTCCACATTGCAACTTGCATCCACCTTTTCCAAACCTGCCAAAGTGTTGGTGGTGTTTCAGATGCCTTTGCCCCCTGGGATAAGAAGTGATGTTAAACCTGGTAGCTGCTATCTGTATGTACCTGATCCATTAGTCAAAAATCAGCCATGGAACACATTTTACCCACCGATAGCTCCCGCTAAATGATAGCACAAATTGTTTTCTGGAATGTGCGACCCCGGGAGGTCAGCGGCTCATTTGTAGTCAATCTCCATGCTCCCCCACTGCTGTGTATGTCTGCAGGTCTGACAGAGGTTGCCTAACTAAACAGTAAATCAAATTATCTTCTCGCTTTTGTCACGTAATGGAAGTGTCCCTCGGGTGACAACCTTGCACTTGTTGTTGCCTGCTGATATGTGCCAGATTTTATAAGGCAGGCCTGTGGCTCTGGCTCTCGTGGTGAAGAAACTGTAATTACTGTTGCCTGGCAGAGATGCCCCCAATTACAAACAAACTTTGGTGCATACAAATTGAGAAAGCTTCTTCCTCCACTGGATTTTGAGATATGAATATCATGGGTTGAAACTGTCCCACCCAATGATATTTTCTTCTTTTTTTTCATATTTACTGTTCTCACGGTTAGATTAACCCCTTTAGGAGACCCTACAGCAAAAATGAGCTGTGGATCCCAACTGACTCTGTATTCCTCTCCCTTTGTATTGCAGATATAGACCCTTACAAGTGCCCATCAAACACACAGCACACTGCATGGCAGATTAATTATATTTTGCCTAAAGGTGGAATTCTACCGGGCCCCAGGTTTGCTGTGCGCCAATTAGTTTCCAGTAATTTGATTAAACACTAATTCCTTTTGCAATATGCACCATGTAAGAACGGTATAAACATAAGTAAAATGGCTTGTAAAACTAGATTTTCACATGAGGGCACTCTTCAAGGTTAGTTAATAATGCATTATGTATAAGTTTCCTACAGTAGCAGTATCCAGCTCCAAATTTATGTCTTCACATTCATTTTTGGACATAGTGGATTTTATTTATGTTGGTGAAAGTATTGAAAAATTAGATTTCCAAAATGAGTAAAGTGCAAATCTGTTCCATAGGCCATGTGGCAGTTACTGAATATAATTTGCCAAACTCCCTGTTACCTGTTTTTATAACCAGAGCATAATGGATATTTTGATAGGAACACCAGGCAGAGTAGACCATTTACTTATAACATTTAGGATTAGAATTACTTTTTGGATGTTTGAACTTTGTTTGGACATGTTATTTCATTTTGTGAGAATTTTATAATAAAACTTAAATTGGACTTATAATTTATTTTGCTTCAACTTGGACAAGGGTATTAACCAATGTTATATAAATCACACAAACCCCACAGAAAGAACTGGTGAGCAAGAAATATACAAACCTCAAAGCTTTACGGGATAATGCTGAAATCAAATTAAATCAATTAAGTCTTCTCAAAACAATGAAAAAGGTTTCTTCTACTCAAAGTAGAAGCATGTTTTTTCCTCATTCACAGTTTTTTTTAAATATCTCAATGTTGGATTTTTCATTGTCTGCATGAACATACACATAACATAAAATTTTGTGATTTTTATGAACTGTTCTTTTATAGCCCTGATCTGTTTGTGATTGTGAATGCTCCCAAACTTTGTACTAACTAATTCAACACTTACTAACTGAAACATGGTGAATCAGGGGTCTTATTTGCCCAGAATGAAAATGTAGCACTACAAATAAACATCTCATCATACAAAGGTCAAACCACGTATCTGGAATTCAACAATGACTATAATTAATTATATATCCGTAATCTTATTTACAGCATTGTTCAGCAAGACTTTGCATTAATTAAAGCTACTTCATTAGCCTCTCCAAACTGCATTAAAAAAAGAAGCACCCTGAAATTTTTCTTAGATAAATGGTTTCCTTACCTTTCCTCTCAATAACAAAGTCCCAAGAGAATTCACAAATAAACTTAAATAAATTAATAAATTTCTTTATTATATGAATTTATTCTCCTCATTATGATTGAACTTATTCAGGCAGAATAACCTTAACTGTAACTTTTTTTATAATTAAGTTCCATCAAACAGTGTTTACATGTCTAATTTAGTCCACTTTGATCTTCTGAGGTTGCTGCGAAAAACGTTCCATAACATCACTACAAAAGAAAATCGGAGTAAACAGTGTGATCAGGTGCAGGTGTATGTAGTGGAATAAGTGGACTGGTCCAAACAAAAGATAATGAAAATCATCAAAGATTAAAGGCTCACCCTCTCAAAGTTTGTTTCCAGCATGGTCTTAGAATTCTAGGGGGCCATGTTCTGTGCGGAAAAAGAATCACTGTAATGGTCTAACCAATCTTGTGTTTTCACCATTGGTCACTGAACCGCCAAACCGCGTAAACACCATATGTCCCAGCTGCTAGTCTAATTCATTTTGCAAGCAGTTTTCAAAGTTGTGTTGACATGAGGGACTATGTTACCAAAGGTAGTTTCGCAAACTTTGACATCCAGTTAGAGCTTAACTTTTATTCCTTACTATTGTGGCTTGTTTACTCAGCATATATGACCTGTAATTACGTAAAATCACTATAGAGACATGTTTTAGTAATGTAGAGGAGAAAGCCAACCAGCGACAAAAATCCAACAGACCCGTTTAGTAAAAAAAGACAATGTATCTGTTTACTTAGTCTTTGTTTT